GAGATTTACAATGAGTCCTACGCTCATCTCTTTCTTCTCTAGTCCTTCTTCTAGATCTTTTTTTCTTATGATGAGATCTATGAGATTCTAATTTAGAAGTTTCTCGGTTGGTGCTTTTTGTAGCATCCGGTAAACCGAATTGAGTACAAAAATCTCCTAATTGAGACTTTTCTCTAAGTTTATCCATCTTAAGCTGTCTTGAGAGTTTTAACTCATTGCACAAATTTATGCCTTCTTGCGTACAAGCCCCAATAAGCTTTCCATAAGTAAAATCACTATAGGGAATAATTCCTTGAGGATTTCTAAGAGTCTTTTTTACTCTTTCTGCAAATAAAGAAGGTAAGCCATCAATAAATTTGGCTTTCCAGAATTCTAAACCATTTTCGGGAAGTTCCATGACCCGACTTAAATAAGTGTCTTTATATCATCTAAACTCACCTAAATGTCTACATCTAAGACCATTTAGAAGAGATCTAATGGTTTCATATTGATTGGTAAATCTACCACTAAAATGTTCAAGAATAGTCAAAATAAGTGTATACACAGCGTCTTCTCTATTTTGAACAAGGGCAAAGCCTAAATTATCAACTCCTTCATTTAGTGCCTTAACATTAATAATTGCTGCTCTCGCATCAGAGGACATATAATTATCCTACCATCCTCTTAGTTGACCAGTAAATCCTGCAATAATCATCTTGCAAATGGTCTTGTCAGTGTTACTAACACTTTTGCAGATAGTAGCATACATAAGCATCCTATGAACCATAATCGTCAACTGTCTATCAGTTAACTCATCGAGATTCCATTCATAAATCTCACTTCCACTATAAAAAGTGTTAGTTTGATTCCAATCTCTTTCCTCTATTAAAACATCTTGAGGAGTAGGCCTGGGATAGTAATATGTTTGCATGCTAGGTTTTCTAGCATAAACAGTATTACCACTATTCTTCTTTGGATACCCATGAAGTTTATTAACTTCCATTTCCATTTGAGTTTTGAAATCAAAAGTGGCTTCCATCTCATCTGCAAAATCTTCAGTGAGACTTATCGGTTTCGCACTTGCACCAAATTGAGAAAACTTTTTATCAAGAAGATTTTCAAGGTCGTGCAAAGGTCTAAGAATAAAGTCCTGAATCTCAGGAGGCCTTTGAATATGGACATCAGACTGTTTTGACGAAGAAGCCTGTTCCGAAACTTGTTTCACAGATTTTAGCTTACTATCAATTTGAACAATCAGATTAGACAGGCTATCTAATTTTTTGTCTAGAGAAAAAATATGTTCACCAATAACTTTGACATATAGGCCCAAATAATTATTTTGAGAAATAAGACGATTAATTTCATTTATACTTACTGCGGCGACATCATTATCAATAAATTTATGAAAAGCAGTAAAAGAAATACCAGTATTATTTGGTAAAATAAACGGAGCTTGAGGAGGATAAATGGATTGAATAATATTACCCGATTCATCTTTGTAAGATCGTTCAAGAACGTTGATGAACAAGGGCAAATAAGTGGTTATAAACCAAGGGACAAAAAACATAATATTATTATGTAATCCACAAGTTTCATAAAACTCTTGAGAAATATTATTTAAATCTTCTTAACTATAAGTGTCAAAAAACCAAGTTTTAAACCGGTTCCATTTTTCATTTAAAAATTCGTTTTGAATATATTTTCTTGCCAGTGAACCTGGACTAAAATCAATTTGATGTTCACTCATCATTAAGTATCATTAAGATTAAAATTCATCTAGGATACAGAAGGAATATCTTTATCAGAAATATCAGATGTTTTATCATTCGTTTGAACAATGTTTAATCGAGGATCAATTTTAATTTTTTGTTTTTCTGCAGATATAACTGATGATAAAGTATGTAATGAAGCAGCGCGATTTCTTGCTGGACCGTAACAAGGTTCTATCGGAGAAATATGTTGAATAGCCAGTCTTCTATCATAAGCAAAAGAATGTCTACTATAAGGAACACTTTTTTCATCAAACTGCATACAAATTTTTTCATCGGAATTTTGACTAATATGAGAATATTCAGAATTAGTGACAGCATCGGTCATTTGCTCAGGGGGTATAACAGAATCTAAAATCCAAGTGGTAGGAAAATTAATTTCTTCCCATTTTATAGGTCTTCTAGTAGTGACCTTAGATCTGGCGAAATTAGTTTCTACTAAAATAGTTTGATCAGATGTATCATATAACTTACATCTAGGATTCAAAGTAGCAAGTAATTTATAATAGATTCTATACGACAAGCAAATTAATTCAGATCCAGGTGCATAGTTATAACCATGCGTTTTAACATTCAAGGTTAAAGCATCTAATATATTAGAATCAGTCAAAGATAACTGCAAATTGGGCTGAGCATTAAAATAAACTGGACCATAAGCCACCATGGATTCTATCGAACCCATCAAGGATTGACGAAAATTTAAATTCCTCGCATCTCGTAAAGCAGCTAAAAAAGTCTCTGGTAACCCTTTAAGAGTTAAAGGTTTAAAAGCAATTTGAATCATGTCAATATGCAAAAATTTATACTGAGATTTATATAATTCAATATCACGCTTATTTAATAAACGAATAGTTCGGACGAGTTTAACACCAAGGATTGTTCAGTTGTTTTAATCAACTGTTTATTAGAAATCTTATCAAACCAACCATAATCATAAATGGTTTTTCTATTGACTTTCAGAATAGTCCATTTGTTTAACAAATCAAGATTTTGAGGTATATCTACTTCTTCTAGTCGAGTGCTTTTAATTTTGCTGTTGTTGTTGTTGTTGTTGCTGTTGTTGTTGTTGTTGTTGTTGTTGTTGCTGTTGTTGCTATTGTTGTTGTTGTTGTTGTTGTTGTTGTTGTTGTTGTTGTAGTATGAAGTTTTTAGTTTAAGCACAATTCCTTAAGAAATTTGTTCACTTCTAGACAGAGGCGTTTTTACTAAGTTATTGTTAGTTTAATAATATACAATATAATTTTTTTATTATATAAAAATTCATTTTTCTAACTAAGGATGTAAAAATAAATAAATTAATAACCTGTTAATTATATAAAATAAATTATTAACTTAAAACTAATAAATATAAAAGCTAAAATCACTAGTATATTAATATTACCATATAATATTTGAACAAGACGAGGGAATATTATGTAGGGCCCTCGACTATACCTTCTTATTTAAATCTTTTTTTATTTAACGGAAAAGGGTCAAAATTGCCCCTAAACTATGTGAAATAGATCACTTATACCCTCCATTACATTTTGGGATAAAAAATACCCCCGCCGTTATCTCAAGAGACAACAAATACCCTCAAGAGTTAACACCACAAATTATTAGTGACGTGGCAAGTCACATGGGACTAATCCCTCCACCTAAGCATTGCCAACTAAGATTCACTACAAAAGAACTTGACCTTTAGTGGCAACAAAGTCGCCACAAAATCCCAAAATATTGCCACTAAAGGTTATGAGTGATTTTTAGTGGCGACTAAGGCTGCAACAATCATTCGCTAGTAAAACCTATTTTTTCAACCAAAAAAATATGATAATTAATTTTCGATTGCAACCTAATTTTCTAAAATAAATACTTGCAATATCAATATTAAAACATCCAATATTATTACGAAAAATCATCAAAATTACTTCTCGATTCAAATCTCCTACTATATAATACATCATTGTACATTTTATACATTTACATATGACATAAAAATAAAACATACAGTGTCTTAAAACTCCTACTTAATCGATATCATTTTTGGTTTTTTAAAAACAATGAAGAAAAGAACACAAAATTAGAATTTAATGTTAAAAACTTTTAGTGACGATTTTATGGGCTTTTGTGGCGACTGTTGTCACCGCTAAAGGTCAAGTTCTTTTCTAATGAATCCTAGTTGGCAACACTTAGGTGGAAGGATTAGTCCCACGTGGCTTGCCACGTCAATAAAAATTTGGGGTGTTAACTGTTGAGGGTGTTTGTGGTCTCTTGAAATAACGGCGAGGGTATTTTTGATCCCAAAATATAACGAAGAATATAAGTGATCTATTTCACATAGTTCAGGGGCAATTTTGATCCTTTTCCGTTTATTTAAATTAAGACCCTACGTTGAAAATAGTCAAGCAAAGAAAGACCTAGATAAAAATTTGAGAACATTAATAAACGTATCTACTCATAAAGTGTCTATAACGTGTCTACTTGCTCTCTCTTTACTATCATTGGCTCAAAAAATTCTGACGACTAGTATAACAGTAAAGGACTCACCCACTTTGTTTTCCTACATAACTTTAAAAATCAGTTTTTAATTATAAAATTTTTAAATTCATTTAATGTTGGATTCCGAATTTTAAAAAATAGCTCATAATCAGTTTTCCAAATAAAATGTTATTTTCTCTCCTTTGCAAAAAGTATACCAAAAAATAAATTTATCTTCTTCAACTTCAATTTTTTTTAAAATGGAAATATAATAAGATGTTATTAAAAATTCTCATATCAGTAGAGAGATGAAATATTGATCTCCTTATATGAACTTAAACAAATCTCTCCTCATGATCTAATTTTTGAGATTGAATTAGACTTAAGTGTCAAAAAAAAAACTCTTATTTGTATTACCAAACACAATTAGTCAATTTTTAAAATATCATTTACTATTTTAAAAACAAAAATTATTTTTTAAAAAAAAAATTCACAATAAAACGTGAACCACCCAGGGCCTACTAGAAATTGAAAGGCTTCGATTGTTTGCACCTGATGCGACATTGGGTGTATTATAAATAGAGTAATCTGAGCATTTAACAGCTAAGTTATGAGCTTGCCCCAATTACGTGTGCGTTCCACATGTCAAAAAACAATTCCATTTTTGGGGTGTTTATTTTATACTCCTAATAACAAATAACTAAGCCACGACTTTCCCACGCTTACAATTCATCCTTAAAATAGCCCAATTTCTCTTTCACAATCTTCAATATCTATCCAAAAAAAAAAAAAAAAAAGCTACCTAAGTCAGTCAGTGTCAGTGTCAGTGCCACTTTGATCTATTGCATGGCTGATTATCCTTTTAACGTTTCCCCAAATGACAATTCTCCTCCTTTAGAAAACCTTTCACCCACTGGGGGCACCTTATTATCACCTCGTAGGCATCCGAATTTCAGAGGAATTCGACAGAGGAATGGGAAATGGGTCTCCGAAATTCGTGAGCCTCGAAAGACTACACGTATATGGTTAGGAACTTTCCCCAATCCCGAAATGGCAGCTGTCGCTTATGACGTTGCAGCTTTGGCATTAAAAGGCCCTGATGCCCAATTAAACTTTCCTGATTGTGCATACTCGTACCCTATCCCTGCTTCTCTGTCAGCCGCAGATATTCGTGCTGCAGCTGCAAATGCTGCTGCTGCTAGAGCACCTCCTTTGTCAGAAATCAGTACAGCTGGAGGTACTGCAGCAGCAGCGGGAGGTGGGCAAGAGTTTGTGGATGAAGAAGAGATATTTGGAATGCCGAAATTGCTGGATGATATGGCAGAGGCAATGCTTGTTAGCCCGCCAAGGATGCATCAATCAACTTATTACGATGAATCACCTGAAAACTCTGATGCGGATAGTCTTTGGAGTTACCCATAAAAGTATGAGTAAAATATGGCCCCCCCTTGTGTACAGTCCAGAAACTAGAATAACGGAACCACTATTTATAGTTAGTGGGGTTTGCATTATGTTTTTGTTTGTTATGGTGTTTTTACCAAATAGTCCTTTCAGCAGTAGTTTCTAGAAAGGACATGTCATTGGATTTCAAGAAACAGTATGTGTTTTAGAAGAAGAAGAAGCAAGAAGTTACTTTACTTTTATTGAAAACAATGAATTTGACTTTCTAAAAAAAATCATTTTTTTTTAACAAGTCAAAGAAAATTGTTTTCATGTTTTGAGTAACATATACACCCCATATATTTGTTGGTGTGTGGACTCTCTATATAGGTGAGAAGTCTTTTTTTCTTGTGATAATAAGGGCTAATTAGAATCATTTTGTCTTCTAAGTTCCAACCCAGAGATTTAATTATATGGGGTCAAGGAGAGCTTGTTCTGAAGGTTTGACTATGTGTAGTAATAATATATTGTATGTATGTGTCAGAATGCCCAGTCCTACTCGTTTTTTGACATATATGTATTAATGAATGAAAATGATAGATTATGTTACTCTATTGTTTCCATTTATATAATTCACTCCTTTTTTAGCTAGTGCTAAAAATAATGATATATTTTTATATTTCATAACAAATATTCATCGGTTATTGTAGATAGCAAGTTTTAAAAATATTTTTTCTTTAAATTTTGTGTTGAGTTAAACTACATCACATAAAATGAGAGTCAGAAAGTATTACATTTTGTGTTGATAGTTGGCTTAATAACCAACGTTATTAAGCATATTTGGTAAACGCATTTGACTAAACATCAAATTAAAATTATATATATTCTCTTATTTATTTTCTTCGTTTACTTTTATTTGTTCAGTATTTTAAATTTATACTTATATTTTTATTTGTTACTTTTAACTTATCAAGAAAAGATAAATAAATAAAATAAAGAAAATATGAATTTTGTTAAGTACCAAATATATATATAAATTAAAATATGAAAGTTATCCTTTAGATGAATAGGGGCTAAAATTTCACTTGTCTTTATTATAATTTTTTCACTATTTATAAAAGCATCGAATAATAAATTATATTGGTGTGTAGGATAATACACGAAATTAATTGGTAGTTCAATCAAGGATTCACAAGCTTAATAAAGAGAACTCTTCGTACTCAAAGTTATTTTGGGTTTCATCATTCTACGATTAAGAATTTTCTTATGAGACTCACTACCAAATTCCTATACCTTTTTAAATTCATTATTGGTATATATGTTAATCATTTATCATTAGTTGTTATAAACTTTTTCTTTATATTTCTATTATCAGATCAATTTAATACATATTTTCATAAAATACATATAAAAATTTGATTGTGCCTATTTAAGAGTGACTATTTGGCACCCATCGCAGGGTCAGAAAATTGTGGGAACATGAATTTAGAGGAGACAACACAATAAAAAAATTGTACAAATTCAACGGATTGCGTAGTTTTTTTATGTGTTTTTTTTTTAAAAATAAAATAAAAAATCAACAGACTTAAAAAAAATTGGTGGACGTCCATTGATTTTCTGGTTAAAATGTGTGAAAATTAAGAAAAATATTCTTATAAGAAAAACGCAATCCCTCAATTTTTAATTTCTTTTATGGAAATCGAATGACTCGACCAATTTTTTTAAGTGCAAAATCGCAGTTGAGTATAAATTAAAAGCAACTAGTTTATCAAAAAAAATGTGTGGTCTGGTGGTAGAATTGCTCAATGTCATAACAAGTACTAATAAAATTGATGGATGTCCTTCGGTTTTAATCCAGGAAGATTGTCGATTTTCTTAAATCGACCCATCGAGTTCATCGATTTTGGACTGATTTTAGGCCAAAAATCGAGGTCATCTATAGATTTGTCCCTCAATTTTTATTATTTTTATAAAAAAATAGAGCAGCAAGAATTCTGATAAATTATTAGCAGAGTAAAATTGATGGGATATGAGATGATCATTATGAAATTGGAGGCTTCTTTTCAAACTTCAAGCTCCATAATATACTTACGCTGATATTTAAAGAATAGATTACAAGGCTCAAGACAATTAGAAATCCAAAAGCTCCATAATAATTCATGTATGAGTTCATATCTCTTTTTAATCACATTTCACATCAAATTAGTATCAGAGCTGAAAATCCCCCCCTTCCCCCCGACAATTTATAATCCCGAGCTTTCTTCTATTAAAAAAAATAGATATGAAATTGGACAAATTTTCTAATGGATTTTGTTTAAAATAGTGTTGAATATGAAATTTGAGAGCATTTGGATAAAATTTTATACAATTTTCTTTTATTTTTCGGACTAAAATTTCAAAACTATGTAGAGCGCGAAAAATTAAGTCTTGAAGCTCTTTATATGCATGTTTTTACCACCGTCTCCACTCGAGTCTTTTAAATTTTGAGTTCGTCTATCGATTTTGGCTCTCAATTTTTAGTGTTTTTAGTAATTTTTAGTGTCTATCAATGTTGAGCTCGTCTAGATTTTCGCCACTTGAGTCTTTTACGCGAAGCATTACACATATTGTTGTATGTAGCGTGAAGTGTCTAATATGATTGTTTTTTTTAGTAACATATGGGTTTAATAGGAATATATCTACTTTTAGTGTCATAGTAAAAAAAACGGAAAAGAAATTTAAAGAGCCGCTTATAACTTTAGCCTTTAATTGATGAATAAACCAAATGACAATATTCTAGTGTTTGGTCATCAATGATCAAGACTATTGACTACTTTATTCTAGCATAATACATTTCTTATTCTAATCAATAGGGAATTGAAATTGGAATAGAAATATGAAAGGTTAACTCTAATTCTTGAGGTTTAACTTTCATGTAAATGCCTTTTGGTCCCCTATAGCTTTTACTTAAAAGACAATTGGTGTGTAGCTTTCGTTTTTTAAATACCGCTATTACTAGTAGTACCAATTAAGGGAATTTATAAAGGATAAAGGGCTCTTCCTTCCAAAATTGTACATAATGGATATCATAAACTGAAAAGGACTCGTTAGCAGAAATGTTACGTTTAGAATATTCAAAGAGAATATTTAATGTAGTCACAATCTTGATCAAGTGAAATGTTTGTTACATTGCCATCATATAAATTTTAAGAACTTGACAAGGCTTGTAAAATATTTAGAGTTACTTTTATAAAGAACTTTGAATTATTGTAATGTTATTATTTGAAGTATTTTTTTTAAAAAAAATAGTATTAAATTCAAAGTATTTATATGTATGAATACTCCTTCAATTTTATTTATATTTCAGTTTACAACTTAACATTTTAAAAATATTTTAATGAGTAAACATTCTCGAAATTAATTTCCTTGTTCACAACTTCACATAAGAAAACAAGAATAAATCTACTTATGTAAAAGGAAAAAAAACATATATAATGTTGAAACGATTAAAAAAATCTTGAAGGATTATTAACAAAATGTACAACCTTAATGGTTAAAAATAATTTATTTTAGATTTTTAAAATATTATTTAGTGTAATAATAAACTAATAAATAAATAAAAGAATTTTTGTAGAAGCATCAAGAAAAATGATTATATATACATAAATATGTCTTTCAACTTGGTCTCAGTTCACATTTATGTTCTTCAATTTTGGATATGCACAAATAGATACTTAAACTTGTATAAATTTAAACAAATAGACACATCCATTCTATGTGGCATCCTACATGGTAATTTATATCATACATGATGTCCTACGTGTATTATGTCAAGTAGGACTCATGTGTCTACTTGTTTAACTTTATACAACTTTTATGTGCTTAGATGTGTAAATCCAAACATAAACATAAAATGAGGTCAAGTTAATATATATATATATATATAATATCTATTTATACATAATACATTCACTTCACTTTTGAGAAGTAATAATATATTATGACAAACGCGTACCACTCAATATAAGTATGTCAAATAAACGTAACATATATGCTTCCTCAAACACCTTCTAACGCGTGCACACAACCTTATTTGAAACATGAAAAATTTAGTACCATCAACATTTTATTTTGTAATTAAGGATATGTCACTTCTCTCAACACATCATTAAAACTCAACTTTTGCCTACAAAGCACCATAAATAAACAAGGGTTTAGTACACCTTTAAAATTATAAATGATGGAGACTAGTAACTTTTGTTGCTCATGATATAGAGTAAATTCTATTAGAACATGATCACCAATAAATTAAAAAGAAAGAGAGAACAGAAAAATATCATTATTCTTTTTCTTCTTTGGATGGGACAACATCATCAACTTCCCATTTTCCTAGTTATGTTATATTGGTGGGAGACTTTGGCCTACCTTGAAATAAAATCTTATTTTGTCGTATTAACCAAAATTGGCAAATTTTGATTATCAGTTTTCTTTAATCTACCCGAAAACTGGTTCAAATTAGGTTTAGAGGAAATGGAAATTGTGAGAACCTAAAAAACAAAACCACGGTTCAAGATTTGAAATTTATGAATATAGAATTCAAGCCCTTTTTATGTTATTGGATACTTTTAGTATGATTTATATTTACAACAACAATATACCCAGTGTAATATGAGGCATGAGGAAGGTAGTGTACACAGACCTTACCCTTAATACCTTAGGAGGTAGTGAAGTTGTATTCGAGAAACCCTTGGCTCAAAGAAAAGCATATCACAACATTTCAAAAAAAGAAATAACGAAAGTGAAGAAGTCACGAAAAAAATACTAAAGATAGTATAACAAAACATCGTGGAAAGAAAAAGGAACAATAACTACTATGATTGAAGTACAAGAAGCGACAAATGTACTACAAATGGAAAAACAAGTAACAACAATTATAATACTACAAGTACAAGCTAGTATGTATGAATAATTGAGACAACACTCAACTGTTTACTAATTTTTTATCTTAATTTGTTTCCTCCATAGCCTACTATCTAATGTCATATCCTTGATAAACTGAAATCGTCATGTCCTGTCTAATCAACTTTCTTCAATACTTCTTCGACCTACGACTTACCTCTACCTCTCCTAAAACAATTCATAGTCAATCTCTCACACCTCTACATTGGCCATTCGTGCATCTCCTCTTCAAATGTCCGGA